TATCACAGGATTTTCGCAATAATAATTAGAGATGGCATGTATTGTGTTTTTAGAGGATGAACAAAAAAACACATTGAAATTACATCTCTCTAACTGTTGAGACTGTCAGAGAAACAATGACCATGTTTAAGGCAGCAATAGGCTTTTCAATTTCTTGTTTTATGTTGAGAATGCTGGTACCACTTTCATATGTGTCAGTAGGTAGGCAGTTAGCTTAGCTTAGCATAAAGATTGTAAACAGGTAGCTCTCTGGCAAACTATCAAGCTGTAACTTGTAGCACCAAGGCTCACTTATTAACATATAAATCAGTTACAACTCCAGGTCACTGCACCCTGCCAAGAAGCTAATTAGATGCTGGCAGGAGCTTCAAGAACAGTGGAGGGCAGTGAGATGATTTTGGCTGAATGTTCGATTGGGATCTGGCCATTTTAAAGCCCTGGTCTACAGCCTGAGCTCTTGGTTGAGTTCCTCTAGTCATTCCTGAGCAGTTTATGTGGTGTGGTGAGGCGTATTATCCTGCTAGGGGAGGGTCGCTGCTGTTGGGGGGTGTGTCTTTTCTGCAACAATGTTTAGGGAAGTGGTACATGTCAAAAGTAACGTCTATGAATGTAGGACTCAAGGTTTCACAAAATTCCTTTGTATTGAGATGATCGATGTTATAAACCTCACCTGTCTGGGTTTTAACATTGTGACTGATCAGTTTATAGTCACAGTTTTGTTGACTCTTGCACTTTCGTAACTGTCGTTTCACTACTCATATTAGTTACTCAATCTTCCTTATTTCCTTCTTATTTCTGTTTCTAATATTTTACTGCACTTGACAAAAGAGGAAAGAGGAAAAAGTTGTTTGTCCTGCCTGATAGACCCATATTAAGCAATAAAAGGGAGAGAAGCAGCTTGTCAAGGTTCATTAAGTCAGCAGACACCTTCCCTCAGGAAGTAGGAGGGTCAGTGATTTGACTCATAGTTCACCAACAAGTCAGTATCTCTTATTTACTGCAAAGGAAACCAGACACAGCAGCGATGGCAGCAGCTCTCAGATCCGTCTTTCCAACAAGCTCTTGTTAGATATCGCTGACCTACCTTCACCAGGGTGTAGTTAATTCACACAGCGTGGCCTGGCACCGGCCAGCACATTCTGTGAGGCTCTGAACACACACACAGAATCAGATCATCTGTAAATTTGGCCCACTCTGAGTTCAGCGTGCCAGGTCATAAATCGCGTGCGGTCTCACTGAACTCCAGCCTGCCTCCTGTCAGGCCGACTTGGCCATGTGAAAAAAGAGAGAACAGATAGGTGTAAAAATTTGTGTTGATGCAGTCGGAGGGGATGGCGAACAGCTTCAGCTTAGCAATATGCCACAGCAGATTTCCAACTGTTTGCTGTTTCATCTGAAAACATGGTCTTTGTTCCAGTATTGTTTTACCTGTAGCTGCATTGGAAATTAGAGACAGTAGATCCATTTATTTGTGGTATTTTGATACAGGTGGAAGGAGAATACTTTATATTCCTTAACTCTTCAACTATGAGTCTATTTTTACAATCAAAATTGTCAAACATTTGATGCTTCTGGCTTCTTTGTTTGAAGATTTGCTGCTTTTCTCTGACTTATATTGTACTACATCAAGTATATTTTGGTTTGGGCTGAGCCTAATTGTGAATTGATTAGCGATATCGTTTTTTTCATGTTACATTTCAGTTCAGCATTCACTGTGTAACAGATTTAAAACGTGTGATGGAGCATGAGACACCCTCAACAGAGCAACTGTCACACCAGGAGGACGGCCTGAATTTGTAAAAACATCGACTCGACAGTTCAAAATCCTAAACTGCGATTTGCTAATTTCCTCAATGTTTCAAATTAAGATTTTAATTTTAAAATGAATTAATTGTGCAGCTCTAGTTTAAATTGTTAGCTGAACATAAAAAGGTCATTTGAAGATGTTGCTGTGGGTTCTTGAAAATCAGGCACATATAGTATTTTGATGTTTTATAGCCCAGGTTAATTGATTGGGTGAGCCATAATTCTCATTAAATCCTTAAGTTTTTGCCTTATTGCATCTGTGTTTGTAAAACTCTACATTGTTTTAAAGAACAATTGTCTTCACTGGTGATTAATTTCTGGATTAATCGCCAAGTTGTTTGATTAATACAATGGCATAAAATCATGAAAAGTGTCGGTAAGTGTTTCTCATAGGCCTAGATGATATCCACGAATGACTTGTTTCATCCACAACCCAGAGATGCTTCGTTTATTGTCATAGAGGAGGAAAAAAAAAAACAAAGACATTTGAATTTAAGTTGCTCAGATCAGAGAGTTTAAACTTTTTCGCTATCACTTGATTACTTAAAGCGAATAAATGATTAGCAAAATAGTTTAATAGTTGACAACTAATCGGTAAATGCTTCATTTTGCCACCCTAGTTGTGATTAGTTAGTAATTTGTTGTATAAATATCACTTGATCCAATAAAGATACAAATTACAAGCCACTTTGAAGAGGGAATTGTTAAAACAGTCTCATTCCATTAACATTTTTAAAAACAAACGCTCCATATCGGACTAAGTGACTTCTGTGTGTCTGTCTGTGTTTCTGTCTCACTCTGTCAGGCCTGAGTCTCATGTTCAGAGCCCAGCATATGGGACCTCTTAACTCCCTGTTACATGCTTTGTTTGCCATCACACTCCTCATTCTAACAGACAGCTGTGTCAAACGTGGTTTGGGAGCCCGTTGCTAAATAGTGAGACGCTGAGCCGGACTGCACGGGAGTGTTTTGGTGCTGCGAGAGCACTTTGTAGCAAAAAGGGAAACATCTCACAATAAGAAAAAGGGGCCACAATTGACTTTAACGCACTCCACTCACCCTTCGGTTCAGCAAGAGGCTGTCTGACCTAAATTCACTTTACCTCATCTGCCTAGACATTTGTTTAGCCTTCTGGGCAAACACTTAGAGAAATGTATGAGGGAGAGGGAGGGGGGGAAATACATATGCTTGAATACATCACATTTAGTCAAGGGAAACGCAAAACCCGGACATCTGCAGACATATACAGCCCTCTAGTGGCAAACTGCAAAGGACCTGGATGTCTGACAGAGAGGGCATGAAGTCATTTATGCAGAATTTCCCCAACCATCTGTGGAAGTTGTGCCCAACCGCAGACCAGAGCACATTTCGTGTTTTGACAGCAGACTCAGGTTTGAGTAACAGACCTAATAAATGTTACCTAATCCCAAATAAAAAATAAAAAAAAGAAGTCACGAGTGAATACTAAAACAACAGCAGAATGAATGAAATGAGGTCATAGAATCTTACCATCAGAGAGAAAGAGAGAAATTTTGTCTTTTGAGTACTGTACTCATTACAATGGCCCGGAGGAACTGTGTGCTGTGAAATCATATGCTCTAGTTAAGCTAAACAAGGGCAAGGTATTCCCACATGAAGGGCAGAGAATAAGTAAGTAGAAATGCAGACAGATGAGTAAGAGTTGAGGATGGTTTAGTGCTGTTTGGCCCTGGTATCTTACTCAGATTCTCAGGTTGCAGATATATTCTCCCCCCTCTCTCTCCCACTTTACCTCCACCTCTCTCTGCCTCTGTGTGCGAGCGTGAGGCAACCCTCCAGGGCTCAGAGCAGCGAGCTCATTAAAGGCTTTATTCCACTTCCAGGATCGAGCAGGATTGCAATATGGACATTGTTTATACACAAATGTTGCCCTGGGAATAATGTTTATTTCTATTACCGTCTTGGAGGAAGAGAGAGAGAGAGAAAAAAAAGAATGCCGAGCTTGTCTACACACATTGCTTTTCATGAAATAATGCCTCTCCAGGAGTGCTTTGAAGAAACGGCCGTTTTTCAAACCACTTTTTTTTTTTTTTTTTTCCAGCCTCGAGTCAAACATCCGCTGCCCTCTTACCCTCCAGTGGCACGCGATCGTGTTGTGAGAATCATGTCAGGAGTAGTTTTACAACAAACCTCATACTGCAAATAAGCTCCCGCGCTCATTAGCATGCAGACTATAAATGTCAGTGCATGTGCAGCCGGACAGGGGGTTCGGTTGGGAGTTTTACCTCGGCCGAGCAGTCACACAAGTGTCATTTTAAACGGCAGGGCCCGGCGGTGCGTCTGCGAGGCAGCTGATGACGCAGCGCAGTGTTGCTACACACCCCGAGCTGTGTTTGGAAACACTGAGGCAGCTTGCTACTACAGTGGGAGCCAATGGGAACAGCTGAACCGTGCACTCTTTAGCCCAGCCAAGCACAGAAAGATCTGGGGGAGGCGGGAGTGGGGGGGAGGACAACAGAGATCCAGGAAATGTCTGAGCGAGAAGCAGCGACAGGCCCATCAGCTCGCACACGGTCGCATCAGGCCGCACATTGATCACCCGCACATGATATATCCATCCCCACGTAATTGCATTGCTGTTTAGAGAGGCAGTCGTTATTTATGAAATATTGAAATAACAAATGGCGTCTCCCGGCAGATATTAAGAAGAGAGATGCCACAGATAAGTCAGAGGCAGGCGGCCGCCACTTCCCCCCGCGGGCTGCTTGCCCAGCCGACTGGCTGCAGAAAACCTGCAGTCATCACAAAGTGGAAATATTTACTGCTCACACTCTCGCATATGGGAGGATGGAGTGTGGGTGAGGGCGACTGAAAAATGACTGTGTTTGTGTTTCGAGAGGAGTGCTAATCAGATTCCTTCAGCATCAGAGGCATTTGAGGACAGCTGAGCTAAAGGTCCCGAGAGTGGATTTATTTGTTGCACAGGCGCAAATGGGAGCGGAGCCACCTGAAGTGTAACACTGGCAACATGAAGTTTCAAATCACAAGGTCCAAAATCCTTTCCAGAACGCTAACGCTGGTCGAAATTTGTTAGCTAATTGTCAACAAGTGCTTGAGGGCCCACTGGAAGTGAATCATCAGAATCACCACATTGATCATCAGGTTTGTTGTGTAATCATGTGGGCGTCTGTGGGCTTGTGTGTTTGTGTCTGCAGAACACCCTGGAGACCTGCACCATCTGCAGTAAGCCCATCATGGAGCGCATCCTGCGGGCCACAGGGAAAGCCTACCACCCTCACTGCTTCACCTGCGTGGTGTGCCACCGCAGCCTGGATGGCATCCCGTTCACCGTGGATGCTTCCAACCACATCCACTGCATCGAAGACTTCCACAAGTACGTGTTCCATGTTTTCACGACCTTTAAAGCTGCACCAATCAATACTTTTATATTATAATACAGCAGTGAGTCACATAAATGTGCATAATGTTAAAGATGTTTCTCCTACTGCGTGTTTTAGGGTCTTCTAGCTCATTGATTTGGTTTTATGGCAGCTGTATTCAGGCCAACAGTTTACTATTCTATTATGCAAGTTTGCAAACATAACCAAATATCAGGATATATTGCTAAGGCTGTTTGAATTAGCATGAAAATACAATTGAATTTACATCATCCCAGTTATGCATTTATTATATACACCAGTAATAATAATTATTAGACCACCTACTGTGTTTTTTACAGTCCACACAACAGTCAACATTAATAAGTTTGCTTACATTTGATCATAGTAGTTAAATAAGTACAGAGTCTCGTAAATGACACCTAATTCATGTTTTAAAATTTTATATATTGAAACTGTAAAAATGTCAGAATTCACATTGCATGGCCAAAGACATTGTCAAGTCACCATTATTTTGTTCTTAAGCTGTACATATAAAGTCAACAGATAAACCAATTAAATTATCACTCAACAATGCCTAAAAGAAGATATTTGTGAGGTGGTGAGACGACAGTCATCTTTAACAGAGAAGGAAGAAAGCAAAACAGCATCTATTACAAACTAAAGAAGAAAATGCAGTACAGCTCCACCTAGAACCGCCAAGAAAAGGCTAAAACATTATTGACGCAGGTCTAAGAAATATTTCCAAAGCCGTATATGTACTTAGAAATTGAAAATAGTTCAAGTTTGAGAAACCCACAATCACTTAATTATCTTTGTGCATTTGTGTGGTGAATACTGTTTTAAATTCAATCCAATGGGTCAAAAAAAGTTAAGCTATTCCTCTGACTTTACATATTTGGATATATTTAGGCCTTCACCAATACAGGATCTTCAAGCTTCCTTTTCGGGAAATGCTGCAAACTGTTTCCCAAATTCTGCGACTTTGAAATGTAAACATGAATTTAATAGTACATTCCTGTCATTGTATCACACTCCACTGATTGCGTAACCAGCACATTACCAGAAATGTTCCTTTACTCAGTGACCAGAAGGGAAACAGAAGTAAACAGCTGGCTCTTGGTGTGAGTGCACAGCTCTTGTTTTTTGGAGTAGCTGCAGTGGGCCGTTGTTTAATTCCACATGACAAGTGTGACCTCAACAGCACAGCCCTTTGTGTCGAGGAACAGTCACGCCCAGGCCGGAGCTTTTTCTTCTTCTGTTATTGTTTTTCTGTTGTTGTTTTTTTTTTTAACTGGCTAATACTGTACTGCCCATGATTTCCCAGAGCCACACAGCGCCTCCACTTCCTGATTCCCAGACTATACAAAAGTGTATGTGAATAGAAGAAGTGTCACCTGACGGAACCTAAAATCTCAGCGGCTTTTCAGATCCTCATCAATGCTATTGTTAGACAGACCTCTTCCTCCTGAAGGCATTTCCAGAGTTACTGCTGTGAAGCCTCGTTCTGTAAATCTTACAATGAAAGAGTTATATTTGTAAATATAGCAATTTTAGCTTTTGAAATTCTGTGTCATCTTGATATGACTATAAATAGTTAAATCGCGAGGACATTGAGCAAAAAACCCTACCAAGAAGTCTATAAATTTGAGTCTGAAAAAAAGTTGAATTTTCAAATGGAAAATGTGTAGAAACCCTGTATATAAATGCTTTATTTTATTTCTTCCGTTTGGTTCAAAAATCAGTTATCTTATGAAGACAGAAAGGATCATCAGATTTTTAACTTTCCAACAGTCCTTGAACTAATTATCCGTGATGTGCAGTTCGATCCTACTTTGTGAGCATATAGTTTTAGGATAATCTATTACAGTAATAAGAAAAGATCTGCCAAAGTTCATAGCTTTTGTTTTAATGTTTGCCAATTTTAGCACATTAGCAATCCTCACAGGGCTTCTGTTTAGGGTTAAGTGTTAAGAGGCTGTGAAAGGTGGTAAGTGTGGTAGCTTCATTTTCTTATTTCTTTTATTTTTACTTAAAGTAAATTTGGAATTTATGTTACATAAACTATACCTGCTACTAGAAATATTTCTCAGTAGCTAAAACTATCTTAAAAAAAAAAAAAGAATCATTTCCCATCTACATATTGTTTCTATTAACCCTCTGAATCCAAAGACTCGCCGGCGGGTTTGAGAGGCAAATTGCCAAATTGCCAAAATTACGCTTTTTGTCAGGACTAGAATCTAGAACAACAAGAAGATTTTCAACGTCTCAACAATCTTTCAACTACCGACATGAGGTGCATTTCCATTTGGAAACTTACAATTGTGATATTTCATCAAAATCACCTTATTCTACATTATTGTCATTTAAAAGAATGTGCCGAACGTAGACTATTTGGGTTCACCAAACGCTATTAAAAAAAAGAGAGAGAGAGAGAGAAAAAACACACACAAGAATTTGTGCTCCTTGGTGCACATTACTGACTCAGGTGCAACCAACAGACATGTGACAAAAATTCTGAGACTTTTCAATTGAACTGCAGGCTGTGTTTACACTGATCAGAAAGAAGGCAAGTATGGTAAGATTAAAAATGTCAGTAGTGACATTCAGTCAGTCGTAGTTTTATTTAAATATTGGTGACATTTGTAGATACTTGAAAAAATAGTGTACATATTGATTTATTTATTTTCAATTTTACAAAACATATAGTCAAAGAAATTCCACTTTTTAAAACATCCACTTTTTTTTGACAGTATACACTTGTCAAATTACACAAAAGACATTTAGGAGGTCTCTCAAATATTACCCATACGTGTTCTGTTTCTATAGAGGTGTAGGACTTTATGTTGCAATGAAAAATTAGCCCACAGTCAGTAAAACTGTGGAGCAAAAAACACCCGTAAAGTGCTTTGAGTCACACTTGTATGTATAACTCACTATATTAGGATCCCTATGCTTCCTAGAAATTATGAATTATGTCACTGATGGTCACATTATGTCAGTATTTGTTGTTGTTCTGACCTCCTGTTGTTGGTTGTTTCCGCAGGAAGTTTGCTCCACGCTGCTGTGTTTGCTCTGAGCCCATCATGCCGGCACCAGGTCAGGAGGAGACCGTTCGTATCGTGGCTCTGGACCGTGACTTCCATGTGCAGTGTTACCGCTGCGAGGTATCTGCTCTATGACTCCATTTTTTCCTGGTGTGCGAGCCCCCCCTATAATTAGTAGTTGTGTAGCATGTTGCACAGCTCCAGGTGAGAGTCATTACTGCCTGATGGCATAAAGCATAACGTGCTCGCCCATCCCCCGAGTCACCTTTTCATCGAGACGAGTGAATCATCCCTCTCTTACCTGCCTCGAAATAGCTTTCCATCTCTCTTCTGCAAAGTTCATGGACTTACATAGTAACCAATCTGTCAGCCGGTGCTCGCCTCGTTGATAAGCTGCGCTGAGACATTACGTGCCCGGCTAAAAGAGAAGTAACGTGTCACATTGTCAAAGAGCCATGCCAGCGTGAGCACACAGAGCGTTTGGCAGACATAAAGGTCAAAGGAAAGCAAAGCAGATTAGTTCAGCTGAAGGGGCTCAACCAGAGAAGAATTTTGTCACCAGGGAGCCATGAGGAGATGGAGTTGTAATTCTGTGTGTGTGAGTTAGAGAGGTTGAGAGTGTAACCCAGTGTCACAGTCTGTGAGACAATAATGCCAAAGCACTGTGTGTATCTGCACTTGTGTGTGTGAAATTATTATCCTGTCAAAAGTGCACAACAGCCAAACATTTTTACAGGTGTGAGACAAAAAAAAACAAAGGCTGCAGTCAGGCAACAGTTCTGCACACTAAACTTTAACAGAGCAACATTTCAGGCTAGCAGAGATCTTCATCAGGCATTGTCAAGTAAGTGGAAGGACACAAACACACTCGTCACTCAGGTATTTGTAAGCTCCATGATTAAGAGAGAGTCTGCTCCCAGACTGGATCAATCAGAGCTCGATAGCACTGTCTGTTACTTACCTTTTTGGGAACAAAGTATGCCAAAATAGAGATAAGGCACGTTGAAAAAGAACATGTTGAGTCTACGAGATCAGATTCAATGGAATGTAATATATGAATCACAGGAATGATTCAAAAAGACAACGGTTATCAGAGAGGCTGCCGCAAAGAGTCTCTCTGAGGCAGTTCTGAGTCAGAGTGGTGCTTTAAGCTGTAATGTCAACAGGTTAACATGCTCATAGTAGCCACGTTTCCACGTAATTGTCAAATGAAGCTTTTGAAATGAAGCAAATGTAAAAAAGAAAGAAAGAAAATTAGCCTTGTTTTCTGTAACTGTGTCGTCAAAAGGTGGTGGTAAAAGAACCAGGAAACAAAATTAGTTGATCGCCAACTGTAAAAAACTTGAAGAAGAAACAAAGCCTTGTGAGAAGTTGTTTTTAATGTCAGCTGATTTTGGCCATGCTTAATGCTGTCTGGAGGCAAAGATGGCAAAAGCAGCAGAAACAGCTGCTCAGTCACGGAAGTTAAATGTTGGCTACGTGATAACTTATTTGAAAAAGGTGTTTTTGTCTCTCATGAAGGGCATTAACTCTTATTCAAAAAAGTCAAAAACCACCTCACCTTCGCTGTTCCTCTCGACGTTTTTTAATACGATACTTAAAAATTTTCATAAAGATGTGATATTGAAATGCGGTTACTGACAAAACGAACATGTTTTACTATTCTGTCCTCTTAGTATGTTACAGTTTATGCACTAACTTTGTTGTAGTCAAGACAACATAAACTGAAGCCATGTCATGACCAGGATCATGACCAGTTCAACTGCAGGACACACTTGTAAACCAGTGCACTGCCCCAAAACATAAGGCAGTTTTCCACTGCAGGACTTTGGGGGCAGCCTGAACCTTTGTGTGTGATTAGTTAAAGTCAGAGAAGACAAATGCTGAAGTGCTTTGAGGTAAAATTCACAATATTGGCTACACATCAATCCTCGACTCTTCTGTTTCCTGCTTGCTCACAGAACTGGAGTCAAGTTCAGTAGCTACTATTCGTTGTTTCCCCGACCTCAGAGTTAACGTCACGGTTGAAGGTGTCACATCCTGCACTGTAATGGTGAGAAAGGCTGAAAGGGACACTTATTGGACCATTTCTGTAATGGTTCGTGTCACTTCATGGCGTCCTGAAGTGCAAAACTGCCTGTATAGTACATATATAGGTAGTTTCGGTGAGCAATGAAGGGATTTCTGAAGGGTTTTGGTATAGAGGTTGAGTTCTAATTTTAGCTTTACTAGCATCAGTTACACTTAGCTCACCTTTCTTTATGTTTCCTTTCTAAGTGCCAAGTCATTTACATACTGCAGTGTGTTTTCTCCTGGATGCAGATGAAACCTTTGTGGTTTAGGTAACGACATTTTATCACAAAAGATTGCAGCCACAGCTTCTTCCCACATTGGCTTTCTTTGACTGTGTGAGAAGGGTGACAATAACGTGAGTGAAGTCATAGGTTTCATTTGAAGCAGGCGGTTTTACAACCAATCACTACAATGATGTCAGCGACCAAATCAGAGAATGTCTTGTTGTGGTCCTGACTGGAAATGAAATCCTCTTCAAGTCCTTTTTTGTCTGAGGCCGAGACAAGATCAGGTAAAAATTAGTTAATTCAGAGTCAAAACCTTCAAAAAGGCCTGAACTAGTACAACACTACTAAATTTCAGTAGAGCCAAATACATTTTAATGTGTTGTAAACCGTAAGAACTGGTGTGAGTATGAAAAGTTAAGGAAGCTCTGATGAATTCCTTCTGAAGGGGACTATGATTATCTGGACAAAATTTAGCAGCATTCCATCCAGCAGGGGTGGATCAACCATCTGTAAAGTCACACAAACTCAAAAAAATCATGTTTTACTAGCACAAAAAGGCTTAAGACACAAGCACTGGTTACAAAAAAAAGACAAACAGAGGATGCTTTAACAGATATTTACTCCTGAGAGAGACGAGACTAATTATTTAAGTATCTTAACATCTGTAATAAAGGAAGAGAATTTTATAGTCAGACTTTGTTTGGATCAGAGGAAATATCTTAGTTTAAACCCTTTAAAGCATGAACGCTGACTATTCCTCAGCACCAACCAGTTGTTTCCTTCTCTGGCAGAAAACCACAACACAGGCTTTTCTGCCGAGCGCTTCCTGTAATGTGACACTGGCGCAGTTTTTAAACGGCAGTAAATGTGCCATTTAGTGCGCGAGCACAGAGAGGGGATGAATGTGTCTGATCGGTGAGCGTGGCTAATGACTCTGTCTGTGTTTGTGGACTAACAGGCTATCTGTGTCCTGCAGGACTGTGGCTCTCTGCTCTCAGAGGGGGATAACCAGGGCTGCTACCCGCTGGATGGACACGTCCTCTGCAAAAACTGTAACACCAGCCGCATCCAGGCCCTCACCGCCAAGGCCACCACGGACCTCTGAACAGCCGGTCACCTCCACTGTGATAACCCAGCGCTCGCTCTGTCTCTCTGTCTTTCACTTGCAAACATACCCATCCACAGACGCCTTCATTCCTCTGCATAAACATATATATCCCCCTATATACAATATATATTATATGTATCTCTCCACCTTCAGTTACAAGAAGTAGCCTCACATGTTCACCTGCATTCATGTAACTATTGACTCGGTACAGTCACTGCAGACGAAGCTGCATCTTATTTAACTGTATTTTTACAAAAGGAATAGTTTGACATTTTGGCAAGTGCGTCCTTTCTGACGAGAAGGAAACTCTCTTGTCTGTATGCTACAAAAACGGTGACAAAATATCTTCGAGCACCTCTAAGGCTCACGAAAGCTGGGATTACGTATTCACATATTACAGCTTTTTGTTGTAAAAATCTATGTAGCTAACTCAGCATCAAAGCATTGAAGCATATTTCCTAAAATGTTGAACTATTGCTTTAAAAAAATCACTCCAGGTTCACCAGAACACAGTGACAATATACATTAATATCTCTAATTATCGTCACTGTGCATGTTTCAGTCAGCGTGTACATCCGTGCATGCACCCACGTTGACTGGTTCTTGTGATCTAAAATATCCACTAGAATATGCAAAATGTTTGATACATCTCCCCTGCAGGTGAAATCATGGATGGATGTGTGTGACTTTGAGAAAACCCATGTGTTGTCTTGAGCATGCCTTTTATCCTGTCGTGCAGAGCCACATACAGTACACAAACGGGGATAAAATTACACACCGAAGACCATAATTGCAAAACAGTTCTGCATAACTGAACACCAAAGAATTGAATTTAAACTGCCATATTTCCTGTGCACTTACTTTGTATGCAACTATATAAAAGCATTATTTACAGTGTGCTGATTGGAACCGCAGGAACTACAAACAGTAATTCCTGCTGTCAAGAACAGAACAGGCAGCTGCTGGATGCAATTCCCTTTTTTAACACGTTATTTTCTTTGTATTTTCCAGCCGAATATTCTTTGATGTATACGGTAGGTTGTTTTCAGTTGGCCTGACCAGTACAATCATGTAACTCCATTCATGTAGACACGGCCTTATATTTGAATTGAATTCTGTGAGGATGTAACTTCCACCCATTCACCACACCATAGATTAGATCAGTGCTTGTACTGTAAGTAGTCTGGCAGAGATAAGGATTATTTCATGGCTATGCAATTTTTAATGCTAATTGCATCGACACTTTAAAATAAATTTTATGAATAAGGAAATATTTTACCTGTACAGATGCAAGAATAAGTGTCCTTATAGTAACCCTTTAATCAAAACTGTGCTGTACTGTGTGACTTTGTGTGTCCCTGTGCTGTTTGTCAGTATTGATTGTGCCATTGACACTCATCTTTTATATTTAGTGTTTGTTTAAAGTTAATGGGCAAAGAAGGGACCATGAGAGTTTCCCAAAACTGATTTTATTGTTTGTTAAATCCAAGAGTTAGGGACCAGTAGTATATTAATTTAATCTAATAGTTCAGTGTAATTACTGCAGCAGTACGTGTATTGCGACATCTAACAGTGAGTTAAAGGCACCCTGTGGAGTTTTTCACCACTAGAGGCTCTGTGGAGCAATTTTAATGTGTCCTCATTTTGTTTGTATGTGTACATGAGTCCACATACAGAGGCAGAGCTAGTGATGTCACCAGGGGAGGAGCAGACCCTCCTTTGATTGGCAACCTCAGGTGTAGTTACCTACCAGAGATAGAAGGTGATAGGTGGGCTTGTAGCATCAGAACATCTGTATGAAGTAAAATTGCCTCGATGCGACAAGGAGACACGAAATGATGACGCAGAGATGTAAAACAATAAAATGACCAAAAAAAAAGAAATACATAAAGATGAAAAACAAAAAGGAGATACACAATGACTACAAAATAAGTACGACATACAGAGTGACTGCAACGAAGAACAAGACTACAAAGAGATGGAAAGTGACACAAAAGAACTACAAAGACAAAAAAAAAGACTGCAAAGAGACGCAAAATGGTGACAAAATGGCACAAAACAACAACAAAGATGTGCAACATGGCTTGAGAGTCATGCAAAATGACTTCAGATAGATACAGAACCACTGCAAGACATGTAAAACAACTACAACGTAGTGTAGACGAAATACACTAAGGAACAAGACAACAGCAAAATACCACAAAAATACTACAGAGACATGTCGAACGACTAAAAAAACGCTAAATACAAATAACAAATTAATCAATAACGACTTCAAAGGGATATAAAACAACCACAAAGTGGTACAAAAAAACTATCAAGTGACCCAAATTACAGCAAAAGGGTTGAAACAATGACAATCTAAACAACTACAAAGAAGAAGAAAAACCAGCAAAGACATGCAAGATTTTGAAAAAATGACACAAAAGGACTACAAAGATGTGTGGGACAACCACAAAGAGACACAAAATGACAATAATGAAATGCAAAGCGATTACAAATAAAAGAAAGAACAACTGGATAAAGTGGTAAAACAAAGAAAGTAGTGCAAAAGAGTTACGAAGAGGTACAAAACAACGACAAAATCACTACTGAGTGATGCAAAATAAAAACTTTGAGTCAAAAACAACTACAACATGGTGCACAGTTTTGCTGTTGGCTTCACACTACTGCACTGTTCAGCTGTTCGTGGCAGTAAGAAACAGTGAAGCGTAGCAGCGTTCTACAGGCTGAAAAATGGACGACAAAATTGGACATTTTAATTGGAAAAGAACCTGCATCTGAAGTGTAAAACACTGAAACACAATGTTTAATTTGTTTACAAGAAAACTCCACAGGATACCTTTAAACAACAAAGACAGTGTAGTTAATAAGTATTAAGTAGTGTTTGTTTGTCCATCTATTAGCCGGATTAGTTTACATTCAGCCACATCATACAAGTGAGTATTTCCCAATCCTCGTTTATAGATGCCTTGTGTATGTGGATGGTTATATAATGAACAAAGTAATTAATTATGATTTTAAAGAATTTTCTTTTCTTCTTCTTTACTGTTTTTCCTCAAACATTACCTAATGGTGTTTAATGCCAAGTGACAACACAAACAAAATCTCTACATGCTGTATCTGTTGTGATCAGGACATCTTATTACGGCAGGTTTCGCTGTTTAAACTCGGGTAAGACTTTGTACATAACTGTGCTAATAAGGCCAACACTAAATGGTACGTTAACATCTATCAAAACTTTGCCAGGACATATTTTCTCCATAAAACCAGACAAAACTTGCTATTTGAAATGTGAAGGAGTATTTAAAGGTGAAGAGGTGACTCGCTGGCTGGACAGTTTGTATTTGGTAGCAGATAGAACCAGCATTTACGCACTTACATGCCTGAAGCAGGGACGGAGCGAAGGCTGGTTCTCCAAAAGGTTAGGCAACCTAAACTTCATGTCCTCAGGAAGTTTTCCATCAATATTTGGAGCCGCATCATTGTAGACCACCAGTTCAGCGGTCACATACAGAAACCCAAAAGACAGCAAGACTTATACAGCTTAGTAAGATCCGAGTCCATCGCTTGATATGCAAATGTGTTATGTGGCTTAGAGATATTTTAAAATGTCTTAGTAGTGTCACAAAACTCTGTTTCCAGCTATTTAGAGACACTATTTACAGTCATTTCAGGCATCCTTTATTGTATATTGCAGGTTAGTTTGAAGATGATGAGCTAAAGCTGTGGAGGAAAGACACTAAAACCTTCTGTTTAGCAACAGGAGACATTTATTGTCTTTATTTTATCTCTACTTCTTTGAAAACAGCCACACAGTATATCACACTGTCTGCGTTATGTCTGAGATCAGATCCATCACTTTGCCCATTTGACACTTGACTCAGTCATCTGATTACAGCTGGCTGAGATTCTCCATATATCATTATGTCACATGTGTTGCTGCGCACATGGACGTTGCTGGGGAACCAGCCAAGTCGGCATCTCACTTTGTATGTTAAAGGTCGACACAGAGCCTTTAGACCTGCGTAGATAATCTGACAGCTGTGTAAAGCTACGTATTCACATCAGGTGATGAAAACACAAACGAAGCGACCTAACAAGTAGAAGTTGAAAACCTGCAGTTAATATCAGAACAAAAGAAGTTCAGTGAATTTAAAATCATATATTAGATATTTTTTTATGTTAAATGCCTATAAATGCAGTTTTAATTTACAAGCTGTGTAGTCAGTCGGTTGATCTTTTTGCTTCATTTTTCTCCAACAGCCTAAAAGGTATTCTTCAGGGAGTATCTGCGCACTGTTGAATCATCCCAGCCCTGTGTTCAACTAAATCACTGACTGTATGGGTCGTATACAGCAGATTGCAGATACATGCATCACCATCAAATATATTTCATAATTTTGCACAAAGTATGCTTTTCACATACTTTATTGACTACAAAAGTCTGGAAGATGTTTGTAATCAAACAATAACTTCTTTTGTGTGAAGAACAATACAGCTGTTGTTTGTCTGATGAGCTGTGACAATCTTATTTGACAGTAAAACGAGCTGTTACAGTTTGATAAATCAAAATTTCATGTAGTTGATTAAAAGAAGAGCATTACTGTGTCAAATTTGAACATTTTTTTAACAACACAAATACTTCGCTAATCAATATATGTATATTGGTGATGGATTAAGTAAGCAGGGTCAAAGTAAAAGGAATCTTTCAGTGATATACGTAGACATAGACTGTATATAAAGATGGACGTAGCCATGCAGCGTCGCTGATTGAAGTTTGGAATTTGACCGTCTCCGTCTTAGTTTTTTTTAAACCAGATGTGACAAGCGAAGGGTAGTTCTCTGATTGAGAACTTCATGAACTATGCAACCTGATACGGTCACGACTCGTCAATCAAAAGGTAGCCACACCCTAAAACATTCCCAGCTGCATTGTCTTTTTTCCTTTAAATAGGACTGTTATTTGCAAAATGAACATCATGCTGTAGTGAACGAGGCTTAAAGCTACTGATTAAGACCTTAAACTCATTAGGAATATGTTTACTGAGGCAACAAATTAAGTGAGAAATAGGGTCATTTTCTCATAGACTTTAATACAATCAGATTTCTTTTTGCAACCAGATGAGTCACCCCCTGCTGGCTGTTTCAGGCATTTATGCACTGGTTTTACTTTTCAGACCTGGAGGCTACATCTGTCTTTTACATACAGTGGTGATTAGCAGTGGGTTTCAGTAAAATGTTTCTGATGAACCTATTCTGCGCTCTACCTGCCAGACAGACAAAGTTAGCTGCGAGTCAATGAATTCAACACTTAGTTCCTAAACAGTGTGATACTGCATTCAGGAAACCAAAATACAACATCAAATAAATGCTAGTGTTGCTCCGTAAGTGCTGGATGGCTGTTTGCTAACATGTTAGCCATATTTCTGTCTAAATAAGAGTCAGGGTTTATAGTTTCAAGGTGAGCGATTGGGTTTTTTTTAACACTTAACCATAATGTAATGTGGAAAATTACCCTTGAACAGCTAAATAACAAAAAAGCAGAAGTGCTTTAAACTAAGGGCTGGGGGGTCCTTAGCAAGCAGTAAACAAATGATTTTAATAGTGATGAATGACTCGCTGGTTTTAAAAATACAAAAATTAAGTGTCTCAGCATTTTCCTATTGGCTTATTAGCGCATGTTTTCTACAAAGCGTACCCTGGTCTGGTCCATATGCACAGAATTAAATCTCTGCTGTAGGCCAAAGCTGTGTTAAACTCTCCTGTTGACAGTGTTTTCATGCACCGTCTCTGGACACATCACACATCTTCATGGGAGCATATATGAATATACGGCATGAATCCTCCGACAAAGCTTGACGCTACAAGTATAAACTAGACATTTAATGATTTTTTTATTTGTTCGGTGTATTTGTGTTGTCTACTGTCTTTGTTCTACCCTTGTTTGTAAAAGTGCCTTTGGCTGAGCAGTATTGAATCACTATACTGTTGCTGTGTATTTCATATTTCTCCGTGCCTCAAAGATTTTGCCTTGTTTACTTTTTTTTTTTTTTTTTTTTTTTAAACCAAAGTAAATAAAGAGGATCCCTTTTGTTTGGACCAACTCTGAATCCACACAGTAGATGTTTCCACCAGGTGCGGTGCTTAAGGCTGCAGCAGCTGCGTTTTAAGTGGTGTTGAGTGTGAAACTCACCTTAAAGAGCCTGATCTGCTGTTGTTAAAGCAAAGCATCTGTTCTTGATCTTGGGAAGGGGCACGATGTAGTCTTGTTTTTATTCTTTCCTCAATAAAAGCTTTGCAATAGCGTCACGTCTCTGCTTCCTTTTTTTCAACATTTTGTTCAATTATGTGAGAAAACATTAAAATGGTGTCTGATTCAGGCCCAACACGCCCTGACTGTGCGCAGCCACGTCCAGCCCCCCTTCCCCTGCTGCTGGTTAACATTTGGCCTTTTGGCTCGTGGTCCATCGGATAGCCCAGGTAATGAGCTCCCGCTTTCTGTCTTCTCCTCGTGCTCCCCTGAAACCTGCCGGTGACCTCCTGTGCAGCGTACCTGCAGATGAAAGAGATTTATTCCCAACAAGTAAAACCCAAGGCTACTTCACTCTCTTCAAGAGTCATTTAAAAGCCCTTCAGTGGCAGCGAGCGCCCCGTGCTTACATAGCTCCGAATCATTTCCTCCTGTCTCTTACTGCGGCTCCCTAACCGCTCTTTAGAAGAATTGGAATCACCTGCCTAATAGAAATCCTACACTGACTGTAGTCTTTTGAGTGTACATCTGGGACAACGGTTTAATTACACAGAGATACAGTGTGCAGTCTCCTCTTTTTTTTTTTTTTTTTTTTTTGTGGCCACGATCAGCAAATGCACTCAACTATGAAGTATGCTTACTGCTGGGATCAGCTTGATGGAGTTGTTAGAATAATTTAAAGACCTTTTTTTTTTTTTCTGTTGCCTTTCCAAGACCCGCTTGATTTAATCCTTTCCATTTGTCATCTTTACTTGGTTGCTGCATATCAGCAGTAAGTCACTGAGCATTTCATTTTCCTCCCTGCAGATTGCAAAATTGAAACGGCAATCGGAAATTTAGGAAGGGGCAAAACTAGAAAACCTACATTATTCCTCAAGCCTGAAAGAAAGAAGCAGCAGTTGTGGGGTTTGTTCTAGTTACTGATAAATAATGTACATTTCACAACAGAAGTCAGAACACCACTTTATCATAATATTTAAACGCCAGAAAATTCAAAAATGTACCACCTCTTAATAAGTGCATTGTTTCTAAGTTGATAATTGGAGTATTTCCCCTGATAAACAACCAAAAACAAAACTTTACAGGCGCTGTTTTTGAAGACTACAGTTGAGTAGAAACTAAAATGCAGAAAACCTGTCACCACACAAATCAAACTGAATATGCCTGTGATTTCCAGTCAGTCTGATTACATGAACATGGTTATAAAAATGAGCAGAACTTTCTCAGTTTTTTAACTGTGGACTATGTACCTGCATGTCTGCATCATGGCCCCACATGGAGAAGAATTGACTGAGGAACTGAAAAATCATGACTTCACATGGATTCCGAAAGATCGATAACCAACTAATATTAGCTGAAACACAATGAAGAGATTTTAAAAGAGATATAGTACCGCTAATCAGAGCTGCTGTGATCATCCTAAAATGATGCCATGAACACTGCATTACAGTCTTGCACAAAGAGATCATCAGTGGAAAATCTGGTTTCTGTGACCGCTCAGACAGCGTGAAGGACACTGTAATGTCAGCCTCTGTGGACACTGTTCAAGAAAACCCGGTTTGTTTTTTTTTGTTACAAAACTGAAAGATTTATCTTTGCTACAAAAACATGAAAAGAAGCCTGATGAATAGTTGGAGTACACTCTTTATTTAGCTCAGATGGGTTTCAGCATGGATGGTGTGAACCTGATTAGGACCACCATAGTGAATGCACAGTCCTGACAGTGAAGACAGACTACAGTTGGACTGTAATGATATGCAGCTGCATCAGTGCAAAACATGTTGGCATGATGACATTTACAGATGGCACCATGGATTGTTGCAGATATCCCAAAATACTGTCCATCAAGATCACTCCCAGTCTGCAGAAGTTTGGCATATGAGGAATATTCAGCATGATAATGATCCAGAACACACTGCTAAAGTCACACAAGAGTTTCTAATGATGACAAAAGTGAAAACTACGACCTGGTGAAGCGTGTCGCCTCACTTGAATCCAATAAAAAAAAAAAAAAACCTTTGGGGGTTTTTAGAGAGAAAGGCAGAGCAACACAACCTCACCAGCAACGACAGGCTGAAGAAATGTTTTTTTGCAGAATGGCAGAACATCTCTGTGTTTAACTTTAGAATTCTCCACACAGAACACCAGTGTATCTGTCATAAAAGTAAAGGTAGCCATATGAAGTATTGGAAAAATGAAAGCTCTTAGTGTTAATAAAAAATGTACTGACATTGAGTTCCTAGTGTGGGGCCTGTGTTTTTAGTGTAGTAAATCTAAACTGTTTAGTTTTTAATCTGACATAAGAGCAAATACTCTACAGCTTAATGCAGAAGTAAAGCAATTACTGTAAGATGGAACAATTTTGAATCATTTGACATTTAAGTGATATTGCACTCGCTTCTCTTGTGTACTGCACATCAGAATTTCAAATAAAATAAAGCTTGTTTACGCACAGCACAGCCGACCTGCTGGTAAATACGGTGGTTGTATCGTTGGTTTGTTGTTGTCCAGCCTCTGACTTGAACTGTAAACTGGAACACACGTCCTCAAAACCCTTCTTCCTCTGCTAGTAAACTGAAGATTTTGGCATTCCAGCAACGTGGAGATTTCCTTGTAATTTTTTCCTAAATATGCTGCAGGCGGTACTGTGCATGTGTGTGTGTCTGTGAGTGTGTCGGAGAGAGAAGCCCCCCCAGCAGTTTAGCCGAGGACTTGCTTTACTGCACATAAATCTGGTGTTTACAAACAAATTGATGAGTGATGGGCCCTGCAGCCAACATGATGTACCCTCCAATTTCTTTCTGTGCATAAAAAATCCAGCGTCAAGTCTCCGGAGGCCTGCTCCGGCATTTTTGAATGTCTTCTTCTAATACGCAGAATTATAGCCTGAATTATTTACCGGGAAGCAGAGATGAGCACGAGGGAGCAAAATGGGCCACTATCATGCATAATCTCGCGCACTCCAATTTAAATGAAGCTGTCATATGGTCAGATTTACATAACATTACAATGTGGGCTGGCATCGCAGCGCTCCGAGCTTAATGTTATTAGCTTTAAAGTGAATTCCCACTGTGCATTTGCATCAAGAGCATTGATTTTGTGCGTCCTTGACTTGGCTAAAGGCGGTGATGTAATCACTGAGTCAGTGTTGCTCTCGGTAAAACTTAGACAGACACAAATCCGAGTCTTCCCAGTGTGCACGTTGTAAGAAACCGTTATTAGTGCCTTTTCTTGTTCTACAACTGGCTGTGAGCATCCAAGGACCGGCCAAGGTGCCAGTAGAGTTCAAGGGTGTCGGCCATCTTCGTGACTGAGAGACGAAAAAGCTCAGTTTGGAGAAATCATGGAAGCCTTTAACAGACTGGAGCAGCGCTGCACACAGTATCAAAGCTCGCTCACAAACCAAACTTTCTCTCTGTTGTTGTGCCTTTTTTTTTTTTACAGACTGATGCAAAAGTCTGACTGTTGCATGACTCATTCATAAGTGAACAATAAGCATCTTAAGTGCCATTATCCATGCAGCAGAGTTTCCAAAACAACTGTAATCATGTAAAATGAAAATTTAACCTCTGGCGGTCACTCTGTTGTACAAGCATCATCCAGACTGGGTTTTGTGAATTGTTTTGCTTCCTCTAAAATCTGCTACTGGGGCCCACCACACTCCAGACTGTAGATCTTTCTTGTACTTCATAAGAGATAGAAACACCTTTTCTTAATAAGTTCTTCAATAGCAAACATTAAACTCTCATCATTGAGCAGCTGTTTTGTTTGTTGTCTTCATCTTCAAACACAAAACCAGACCAATAAAGTACCAACTTTCCTGACTCAAAACAATTCCTGAAAACCTCTCCATTTTTCACTTGTAGATAACCAGCGTTTGTTTGTTTTTTTTTCTTGATGAAAAGCCAGAGGTTCCCCAATGAATAGGGTTCATCCTTTGGGGATCTTGAATGTTTTAACAAAAGCTCATGGAAATCCATCAAACATCTGCTGAGATATTTCTGGACCAAACTGGTGAATCAACATGGTGCACAGAGAGCCATGCAGCTAGCATAAATAAATAACCTCCTACTCGATAAAATATCTGTTAAAATCATATCACACAGTGCCTGTACACACTAAAACTCCTGGTTCAAACACTGTTTTACTCATTTATAAAACCTTTCTAAAGTTTTTCTTTAACATGATAGTATTTAAGGTAGCTGGGAACTGATATGCTTGTCACACAAATCTTAAATGTCACCACTTAAATTTAAAGTCTAAACATTTAACTTCATAATAATGTCCCCCAAGTTACAAAAATGCACCTACAACATAAACAACGTCATTTTTCACAGTGCTAGCAGTGAGGAGCTAGGAATCGCCAATTAGCCAACATTAGCATGCTAACTGTGTAAACTAAGCTAGTGACGTGAACATCTGCATGTTGGCGTTCTGGTTTTGGCACTTTGCTCAAAGCAAAGCTCTGCTAGCATCAGAGTGCTAACTTGTGTAACAGTTATTTTTTTCTTCACAGTGCGACCTGGAGGCCTTATTTAGCGTTCTACCTTAAATTACTTCATAAACTATAATAGGTTGGAACAAATTTGTTGCTTAAACTGTCAGAAAAAGTGGCTCGTTGATGTTAGGAGGGGAAGCACATTTAAAGTTTCAAGTATGTAAACAATTTTCCTCATGACCTTTTTTTAAGGTCTTGGCTATAATTTACAGCTTTTTTTTGGACATATTTCCATCCCTTTTTTCATGGAATAATAGACTTTGTCCTCCTGTTGCTGCTTCATTCATTCTGAACTTCTAAAGCTTGTAAAAACACACAGAGTTCAGTGATTGCTTGCCATTGAAGGTGTTTTCTGGGTTTCATTTTTGGACCATGATTTGCTGCGAGACAGCATCTTGCCATCGCACTCGGCAAAGAAGTGAGAACCTGCAGCTCGCTTCAACCTCCAGATAATTACCCAGAGCAGCGACTAATAACCGTCTGCCAGAAACAGGGTTTGAGCTGGTGAAGGTGAAAATGCAACAGCAATCTGCTTTTTGCTGTAATATTTTGAAATAA